TTTTTTTTTTTTTTTTTTTTTTTTTTTTTTTTGCACTTCAGAACAGTCTAAGTTTGCCGCCAACGCACTTTTTGAGGTATATATGATTAAAAAAAATCTGAGAGGTCGAGGTTCAAACTTGTGCGATTTGGCGTGCACTGGCCTGTACGTATATATGAATATGCAGTACATTTTTTTGTAAGTGTTTATTTGAAAAAAATTTTTGAGATTTTGACATTCATCGACTGTTTATAGAATTCTTTTTTGTGATAATTCTCATAAATTCATTCTTAAAAACGTTCAGGTTTTTCATCTTTGCCATCTAACAACGAAGTTTTTTTGAAATTTAGATATGTTTACAAGTCATTTCGGATCTTTTTATTTCTCTCCTGAGTTCTGAATGAAGATTCTGGCTATCCTCGTAGTTTTTCGTTTTTGGTTTGTGTCTTCTAAGCTAGTTTGTTTGGTTAAGTAAATGCTAGTATTTTTTCTTTACGGTATTTTTAAGGTGGTATTTTTGTTCACTTACAATTACTTCTATCTTCTAATCATAGAGGTTCTTATTACAGTGTTTTTCTGCTCAAGATAAACTGTTATTGAGCAGCTTCTGAATAACAACTTTATCTTTTACATTTCATAGTTTAAAGAAATATAGACAAAAGTATATGCACTGAGTAGTTTATAAGCTGTTGAATGTGTAGTTCATCTCGTTTTAAAAACCCTAACTAAACAGTCAAGAAGGGCAGCGCTATTATACGGTCACCGTATAATAGCGCTGCTCTTCTTTCATTTAGGGTTGTTCACAAATTGCATTTTTTGAATTTACGCTAAACATCTTGATTCAGAAGGTTATTGCTGGGTTGCAGGTTACTGTCGGGGAATCGGAAGTGGTGTTAGTTGGAACATTGGTAAAATTGATTTTTGATTTGAAAGACAACTATTTTGGGCTTTACGACCAGGTATATTTTTCTTTAGTCGTTCTAACATTTTTTTCTTTTATTATTTGGTATCTTTTAGAATATTTTGCGTTAGGCTTCTGGGCTTTCCTGTTTCTAGGTTTTTTTTCAGGTATTAGAACGAAGTAATTTTGTTGAATCTGCGGTTTTTGAAATATTTATGGAAAAATGTGTAATTTTTAAAATAAATGGGGCTTTTTTTTTGCCTTATTTGCTGACTCGAACACTGTAAAATTTTTCCAAATTTTTAGTCTTCAAACTGCACCGAATATCCTTGATACAATATAAATTCGGAGTGGTCTTGATTATTTTATTGAGAAAATGACGATTTGTATTACAGGTATCTGAAATTGACTCAGCTGCGGTCAACGCAGATCTACTGCGCGGGGGAGGTTGTGAAGATGTTTTTACCGTTGAAAATTTCCGTCCGACTAATGTACGCTTCTGCTTTCGCTTGCTTAAATCATTAGCACACTGTGCTATCCATTGTCACGAGGGTTCTTATTTTGACTCAGGTTCCCGTCTTAATTTGCTTTCCTTTTCAAAAGATGGTGCAGGTTTTTTAAATTGTTAAAGAGTTTTATCACTTCCTCTTTTCCAGACGAATGTCCAATTTTAACTGTAAATGAGTTTGTCGTTGAACTTGTCAAAGAACCTTTAGGAGCTATAGTACAGGTTAGTCGTTCCACTTTTTTCACTTTAGCGTTACAGCGTTTTATGTATTATTGGAGGCTATTATTGTATCGTTGTGTGCCTTATAAATGTTGTTTTCCCAAATAACTTGAGAACGAAATTTAGATTAACGTTGGGGCTGCGCTTGTGCAGTTTGGAGGTTATTCACTAGGTGAACATCATCAAGGCGGCTTTATGTCGCTAGATACTTTTTCTTTCCGGGCTCAAGGGTTTTACTCTGAGATTGATGTCCCTTGGGATGTTTCTTCTGTTGAATATGCTTGGCTTACAGAAGTTGTCCTAGGAAGATTATCTGGATGTTTTACTCCTGGCCAGGTACTATGCTCTTTATTGCTTGAAGTTCAGTTCTTGTTCCATTTGCCGCCCTTTTCTAAGGGTTCTTTTTATTCTCTGAATGTCTCCGCTACTTTCAGGTTGAGTTAATATTTTTTTTCTTTGGATTATTTTGGCTCCGCAGTAAATTATCGTAAATTACGGCTTTTACTTTAGGTATTATTGACTTCTGATTTTTTGGAATCGCTTCTTTTGTTATCGTTGTCGCCGGATGAACAGCTGTTTACCCCTTCAAGGTTCTCCTTTAATTGTTTCTTTAAGGCTTTATTCTCATTTTTAAAATGAATCTGTAGGTACCATTTATGCCAGCATTTCAACGACATTAATACGTGTTCCCGCTCAGCGTTGTGTCTTATTGATGGGGATGGCAAAGTTCAAAATTGTGAATCTGAGGAAAAAGTGAGTGTTGTGTCGTCCCACTTCTGATGTTAATTTTCTTCTGTGTAGTGCTTGATTACCCTGGCAGTCACGCTGATAAGTACACTTTTGAAGTATTCTCATATATATA